TAGGTGTTGATTTACAGGGTATATATTGATAGTGAAATATCAGTATAAAGTGACAGTAGGTGTTGATTTACAGGGTATATATTGATAGTGAAATATCAGTATAAAGTGNCAGTAGGTGTTGATTTACAGGGTATATTTTGATAGTGAAATATCAGTATAAAGTGACAGTAGGTGTTAATTTACAGGGTATATTATGATAGTGAAATATCAGTATAAAGTGGCAGTAGGTGTTGATTTACAGGGTATATATTGATAGTGAAATATCAGTATAAAGTGGCAGTAGGTGTTGATTTACAAGGTATATTTTGATAGTGAAATATCAGTATAAAGTGGCAGTAGGTGTTGATTTACAGGGTATATTTTGATGGTGAAATATCAGTATAAAGTGGCAGTAGGTGTTGATTTACAAGGTATATTTTGATGGTGAAATATCAGTATAAAGTGGCAGTAGGTATTGATTTACAAGGTATATTTTGATAGTGAAATATCAGTATAAAGTGGCAGTAGGTGTTGATTTACAGGGTATATTTTGATGGTGAAATTTCAGTATAAAGTGGCAGTAGGTGTTGATTTACAGGGTATATTATGATAGTGAAATATCAGTATAAAGTGACAGTAGGTGTTAATTTACAGGGTATATTTTGATGGTGAAATATCAGTATAAAGTGGCAGTAGGTGTTGATTTACAGGGTATATTTTGATAGTGAAATATCAGTATAAAGTGGCAGTAGGTGTTGATTTACAGAGTATATATTGATAGTGAAATAGCAGTATAAAGTGACAGTAGGTGTTGATTTACAGGGTATATTTTGATGGTGAAATATCAGTATAAAGTGGCAGTAGGTGTTGATTTACAGGGTATATTTTGATGGTGAAATATCAGTATAAAGTGACAGTAGGTGTTGATTTACAGGGTATATTATGATAGTGAAATATCAGTATAAAGTGACAGTAGGTGTTAATTTACAGGGTATATTTTGATGGTGAAATATCAATATAAAGTGGCAGTAGGTGTTGATTTACAGGGTATATTATGATAGTGAAATATCAGTATAAAGTGGTAGTAGGTGTTGATTTACGGGGTATATTTTGATGATGAAATATCAGTATAAAGTGGCAGTAGGTGTTGATTTACAAGGTATATTTTGATGGTGAAATATCAGTATAAAGTGGCAGTAGGTATTGATTTACAAGGTATATTTTGATAGTGAAATATCAGTATAAAGTGGCAGTAGGTGTTGATTTACAGGGTATATTATGATAGTGAAATATCAGTATAAAGTGGTAATAGGTGTTGATTTACAGGGTATATATTGATAGTGAAATATCAGTATAAAGTGGCAGTAGGTGTTGATTTACAGGGTATATTTTGATGGTGAAATATCAGTATAAAGTGACAGTAGGTGTTGATTTACAGGGTATATTTTGATAGTGAAATATCAGTATAAAGTGACAGTAGGTGTTGATTTACAGGGTATATTATGATAGTGAAATATCAGTATAAAGTGGCAGCAGGTGTTGATTTACAGGGTACATATTGATAGTGAAATATCAGTATAAAGTGGCAGTAGGTGTTGATTTACAGGGTATATTTTGATGGTGAAATATCAGTATAAAGTGGCAGTTGGTGTTGATTTACAGGGTATATTTTGATGGTGAAATATCAGTATAAAGTGGCAGTATGTGTTGATTTACAGGGTATATATTGATAGTGAAATATCAGTATAAAGTGGCAGTAGGTGTTGATATACAGGGTATATTTTGATAGTGAAATATCAGTATAAAGTGGCAGTAGGTGATGATATACAGGGTATATTTTGATGGTGAAATATCAGTATAAAGTGGCAGTAGGTGTTGATTTCCAGGGTATATTTTGATAGTGAAATATCAGTATAAAGTGGCAGTAGGTGTTGATATACAGGGTATATTTTGATAGTGAAATATCAGTATAAAGTGGCAGTAGGTGTTGATTTACAGGGTATATTTTGATAGTGAAATATCAGTATAAAGTGGCAGTAGGTGTTGATTTACAGGGTATATTTTGATAGTGAAATATCAGTATAAAGTGGCAGTAGGTGTTGATTTACAGGGTATATTTTGATAGTGAAATATCAGTATAAAGTGACAGTAGGTGTTGATTTACAGGGTATATTTTGATAGTGAAATATCAGTATAAAGTGACAGTAGGTGTTGATTTACAGGGTATATTTTGATAGTGAAATATCAGTATAAAGTGACAGTAGATGTTGATTTACAGGGTATATTTTGATAGTGAAATATCAGTATAAAGTGACAGTAGGTGTTGATTTACAGGGTATATTTTGATAGTGAAATATCAGTATAAAGTGACAGTAGGTGTTGATTTACAGGGTATATTTTGATAGTGAAATATCAGTATAAAGTGGCAGTAGGTGTTGATTTACAAGGTATATTTTGATAGTGAAATATCAGTATAAAGTGGCAGTAGGTGTTGATTTACAGGGTATATTTTGATAGTGAAATATCAGTATAAAGTGGCAGTAGGTGTTGATTTACAGGGTATATTTTGATAGTGAAATATCAGTATAAAGTGACAGTAGGTGTTGATTTACAGGGTATATTTTGATGGTGAAATATCAGTATAAAGTGGCAGTAGGTGTTGATTTACAGGGTATATTTTGATGGTGAAATATCAGTATAAAGTGACAGTAGGTGTTGATTTACAGGGTATATTTTGATAGTGAAATATCAGTATAAAGTGACAGTAGGTGTTAATTTACAGGGTATATTTTGATGGTGAAATATCAATATAAAGTGGCAGTAGGTGTTGATTTACAGGGTATATTATGATAGTGAAATATCAGTATAAAGTGGTAGTAGGTGTTGATTTACGGGGTATATTTTGATGATGAAATATCAGTATAAAGTGGCAGTAGGTGTTGATTTACAAGGTATATTTTGATGGTGAAATATCAGTATAAAGTGGCAGTAGGTAATGATTTACAAGGTATATTTTGATAGTGAAATATCAGTATAAAGTGGCAGTAGGTGTTGATATACAGGGTATATTTTGATAGTGAAATATCAGTATAAAGTGGCAGTAGGTGTTGATTTACAGGGTATATATTGATAGTGAAATATCAGTATAAAGTGGCAGTAGGTGTTGATTTACAGGGTATATATTGATAGTGAAATATCAGTATAAAGTGGCAGTAGGTGTTGATATACAGGGTATATTTTGATAGTGAAATATCAGTATAAAGTGACAGTAGGTGTTGATTTACAGGGTATATTTTGATAGTGAAATATCAGTATAAAGTGACAGTAGGTGTTGATTTACAGGGTATATTTTGATAGTGAAATATCAGTATAAAGTGACAGTAGATGTTGATTTACAGGGTATATTTTGATAGTGAAATATCAGTATAAAGTGACAGTATATGTTGATTTACAGAGTATATTTTGATAGTGAAATATCAGTATAAAGTGACAGTATATGTTGATTTACAGGGTATATTTTGATAGTGAAATATCAGTATAAACTGACAGTAGATGTTGATTTACAGGGTATATTTTGATAGTGAAATATCAGTATAAAGTGACAGTATATGTTGATTTACAGGGTATATTTTGATAGTGAAATATCAGTATAAAGTGGTAGTTGGTGTTGATTTACAGGATTTTCTGGGTTGAAATGTGAGTGAATACACTATTTTTAAATGGCTCAAGAATGTCAGTAAGAATTATTCTTAAATAAGTTGTAATAAAACCGTTTTAGAATTAGAATGTGTTTATACTCTTGAATATAAAATGAACTGGTTGTGTTTAAGGTTTTGATCTTTATTATTTTGAACAAGGTACAATTACAAAGGAATATACAAGGCCCCTAGATACAGGTAGGTAAAGGGAGAGAAGCGGCAATGGTTTGCCCCCTCCCCCTACCCCTTCTCCACTCCCCCATAAAAATTCCGGCAACCGACCAATTTCATTACTGTAACTAAACACCATACACCATTGCCATTCCGTAGATATTTTTACAAAAACAATCTGGTCTAGGTCTACAGGTCTACGTTAACCATGTTATACAACCAGTTTGAATTGAAGTTTTGAATGTGTCAAGTTCAGTAATAATATTAGATCCTATACACTTATAACAATACATATAGTATTAACAGTTGTTATTTTCTACTTGGATCATTCTAAATTGTACTTTAATTGTTGGTAATACAAAGATAGTTGGTACAATGTAACAATCATACATACTATAAATGGTTATGACTAATGGGAGAAGACCTAATGGCTATGCCTACATTGTGCATTACAGTGATAGTAAAGCTAAGTTCCAGGTATAGTTCATAGTTCAAAATTGGAAGTATTTGATCAAAGTTCAAAGGAAATAATAATTTGTTAAAAATAATAACAAAGAAAAAGACAGTCACCGAACGTTTTATAATTTCACTACATTTTTTATCGTTTGAACTTTTCAATTTTCCTTTACATGATATTTATAAGTATATTTAATGCCCGCGAGAATTAAAAGTTGAAAATCTTGAATTACACTCTATCAAAGTAAGTGTTTAAAACAGTCTACTGACTTCGTAATTTAGCAGGAAAATCGAAATTCCTTACAATATTAATAAAAATGTAAAAGTTCACATGTTTCTATTGTGTGAGCAAAGTAAAAAGTTTCTTGAATTTTTTCCACTATTTCTTTTATGGGAATTTGAATAACATCCTAAGAAAAGTACTTTTATTCTTAAAATGTCTTAGCGTTGATAAAAATATAAACATGATAACACATGATTTCTTCAAAATTGTTTAAATAAACCAAAATTTTGGACTTTTTTGATAGAGAATTTCTAGGAGAGAAATGTGTTTCTTTTCAATGTAAACTTACAAAAATATATATTTTTATCAACGCAAAAACATTCTTAGACTAAGAGTACTATTTCGAGGCTGATATATGCAAATTCTCATAAAGATAATGGAAAAAATAAAATAAACTTTACACTTGTCTCAGACAATATTCAATATTAATTGTATTAGTATTTTATTAAACCAGCACCTGTTGCGTAGTAACCTGTTGCGTAGTAACTTGTTACGTATCTTATTATCTAGCCAGTTTCGCAATCTTTCTGAACAATCTCGAACATTATTCTAATCCTGTGCCAGTGCCGTCTGTTGAATAATAAATGGTTGCTTCTAAACTATTATCTGAGCAAAGTAAAAAGTTTTTTGAATTTTTTCGATATTTTTTCGTAGAATTGGAATATCAGCCTTAAAATAGTACTGATAGTCTTAAAATGTCTTTGTGTTGATAAAAATATAATATTTTGTAAGTTTTTATTGAATAGAAACACATTTCTCTCCTAGAAATTTCAACCCAAAAAAGTCACAAATTTTAGCGGAAAATTGTCATCTGTTAAAACAAAGTTTGAAGACATTATGTGTGCTTATGTTTATATTTTTATCAACACAAAGTCATTCTAAGACTAACAGTACTGCAATTCTCTTCAAAATAATGGGAAAAATTCAAAAACCTTTTAATATGCTCAGACAAAACTTCTAACCTCCATTAGTTCCAGGCTGACATTTCATTTTAAATAAATTTCTTTTTACATTTGATTAAGAAAGGACAGTGGTTTTAAAAAAATGAAATCGTTACCTGACGCCATGTTGTAAGTTGTCTTTGTTAATACCGTGCAACTGTGTTCAAACTTATTCTTTACCTCCTCAAACTCGACCCGGATGTAAATCGTCTGCTCTATATTCAGTAACTTGTTGTTTTGTGATGTAAATTCAATTGGGTCAAGATTTACGTTTGAAGTGATATAATCTATAAAATTGTGAAAATGAAATGAATGGAGTTTTACTTCCTGCACCATGTAATCTACTATTATGTTGCCTGGTACAGCAAAGCATATTGGGTCTATTGATCGACCTCGTTTTCTTTGATGTTGAGAGAGGCGGAGGAGGCGGGGGGGGGTTGATTGGATGTTAAAGCACCACAACAAGGCTTCAAACCGTAAAATATTTAATATATAACAAAAACCCTGAAAGAATACAATGAAATAATTGCAAACAAATTGACAATAAATGATATATCAAATGGCAATACTTATAATACATGGAATATAAAGCTACTGTATGCTGTAATGCTGTACTATGTGAAATAATCACTAATAAAGCTTACCCTAAAAGCGGTTTAAACTGACGAATCGCGATACGACATGCCACGATACGTGTATCGTATCCAACGCCGCGTATCGATACGTGGGGATACCTTTCATTCTATTACAAAAGTGCGGATTTTATAAGTTAACAATTGTTTTCACTGAAATAGTTTATAAGACAGAAATATCACAGTTATAAAGTTATAAATTAATATATATAGAAACTATTTATAAGACACTGGACCCTAACCACTTCTATCAACTATATTACCAAATATCACAGTTATAAAGTTATATATTAATATATATAGAAACTATTTATAAGACAGTGGACCCTAACCACTTCTATCAACTATATTACCAAATATCACAGTTATAAAGTTATAAATTAATATATATATAGAAACTATTTATAAGACAGTGGACGCTAACCACTTCTATCAACTATATTACCAAATATCACTGTTATAAAGTTATAAATTAATATATATAGAAACTTTTTATAAGACAGTGGACACTAACCACTTCTATCAACTATATTACCAAATATCACAGTTATAAAGTTATAAATTAATATATATAGAAACTTTTTATAAGACAGTGGACACTAACGACTTCTATCAACTATATTACCAAATATCACAGTTATAAAGTTATAAATTAATATATATAGAAACTATTTATAAGACAGTGGACGCTAACCACTTCTATCAACTATATTACCAAATATCACAGTTATAAAGTTATAAATTAATATATATAGAAACTTTTTATAAGACAGTGGACACTAACCACTTCTATCAACTATATTACCAAATATCACAGTTATAAAGTTATAAATTAATATATATAGAAACTATTTATAAGACAGTGGACACTAACCACTTCTATCAACTATATTACCAAATATCACAGTTATAAAGTTATAAATTAATATATATCGAAACTTTTTATAATACAGTGGACCCTAACCACTTCTATCAACTATATTACCAAATATCACTGTTATAAAGTTATAAATTAATATATATAGAAACTATTTATAAGATACTGGACACTAACTACTTCTATCAACTATATTACCAAATATCACAGTTATAAAGTTATAAATTAATATATATAGAAACTATTTATAAGACAGTGGACCCTAACCACTTCTATCAACTATATTACCAAATATCACAGTTATAAAGTTATATATTAATATATATAGAAACTATTTATAAGACAGTGGACCCTAACCACTTCTATCAACTATATTACCAAATATCACAGTTATAAAGTTATAAATTAATATATATATAGAAACTATTTATAAGACAGTGGACACTAACCACTTCTATCAACTATATTACCAAATATCACAGTTATAAAGTTATAGATTAATATATATAGAAACTATTTATAAGACAGTGGACACTAACCACTTCTATCAACTATATTACCAAATATCACTGTTATTAAGTTATAAATTAATATATATAGAAACTTTTTATAAGACAGTGGACACTAACGACTTCTATCAACTATATTACCAAATATCACAGTTATAAAGTTATAAATTAATATATATAGAAACTTTTTATAAGACAGTGGACACTAACCACTTCTATCAACTATATTACCAAATATCACTGTTATAAAGTTATAAATTAATATATATAGAAACTATTTATAAGACAGTGGACGCTAACCACTTCTATCAACTATATTACCAAATATCACTGTTATAAAGTTACAAATTAATATATATAGAAACTTTTTATAATACAGTGGACGCTAACCACTTCTATCAACTATATTACCAAATATCACGGTTATAAAGTTATAAATTAATATATATAGAAACTATTTATAAGACAACAGTGGACCCTAACCACTTCTATCAACTATATTACCAAATATCACAGTTATAAAGTTATAGATTAATATATATAGAAACTATTTATAAGACAGTGGACCCTAACCACTTCTATCAACTATATTACCAAATATCACAGTTATAAAGTTATAAATTAATATATATAGAAACTTTTTATAATACAGTGGACGCTAACCACTTCTATCAACTATATTACCAAATATCACAGTTATAAAGTTATAAATTAATATATATAGAAACTATTTATAAGACAGTGGACGCTAACCACTTCTATCAACTATATTACCAAATATCACAGTTATAAAGTTATATATTAATATATATAGAAACTTTTTATAATACAGTGGACACTAACCTCTTCTATCAACTATATTACCAAATATCACAGTTATAAAGTTATAAATTAATATATATAGAAACTATTTATAAGACAGTGGACGCTAACCACTTCTATCAACTATATTACCAAATATCACTGTTATAAAGTTATAAATTAATATATATAGAAACTTTTTATAATACAGTGGACACTAACCACTTCTATCAACTATATTACCAAATATCACTGTTATAAAGTTATAAATTAATATATATAGAAACTTTTTATAATACAGTGGACACTAACCACTTCTATCAAC